GTATCCGTGTTCATGTTTAAATGACTGATTATGCATGTGATTATTTGCAGTGCCATTTTCAACGCTCTTTTTGGGTTAAGCTCAAACTTTTGGATGGCAATTGGCACGAGGTTCCTTCTTGGAATTTTCAATTGTTCGCTTGGGACAATGAAGGTTTCATTTTTTTTATATTTTTTTTTGCGCACATAATAATGTCATTTATCATCATTTATAATTGTTTTAATCATCATTTATAATTGTATTAATCATCGCTTATAATTGTATTAATTTCAGGCATATGCATCAGAAATACTTTATGAGGAATATCAAGCTACAGCAATGTCAGCTGTAATAAGCTATTCTGTCTTTAGCAAAATAAAAATAATAAAAACAAGCCTTTCTATCACGTAATTAATTAAATATTTTTTACATGTTTTGGCTGTTGGTGTTGTGACCCTTATTGTGATTTCTTATTCATTTTAGGTTAGTACTGCTTGGGGCATCGGACTCATTATTGGCCCTGCACTAGGAGGGTTTCTAGCACAGGTAAATCGATCATATTTATGTTATGTAGTTACTTAACTCTACAAGCCTTGCTGTAATTTTCTTCCTTTTAACGCTAAATATATATAATTTGATTTAGGTAAATAAACCATAGGTATCAGTTTCAAATAATAAAAACAGAGAACCAGCTCCATAATCAGACCACATATAACCTTCAATGCCTAGCTTGCTGCAAATTTTTTTTGTGCGCATTAAGTCATATTTAGCTTTCTACCATTCTAATAAATGTTTTTTCAAACTTAGCCCGCGGACAAATATCCAAATGTATTCTCCAAAGAATCCATTTTTGGAAGGTATATATATATGTATTCTTATTCCTCTGTTTAAGAGTTTAGTATAATGAATCATGTAATGAAAATCTCATAATGAAATAAATATGTGAATTGCAATGCAGATTCCGGTATGCTTTGCCATGCTTTACGATATCGGCTTTTGCATTGGTTGTGACAGTACTATGCTGCTTTATCCCGGTACTCTATTTTTCTGTCAAAGGCATACTAAGAACCTTTGTCTTAACTTTTCGGGTTTTCTCCAACCACAAGTCTCATATGCCTTTCTCCAAATAGGAAACATTGCACAATCATGGTAGGCAGAGCACATCAAAAGATGACTCAAGCGAAAAGCTTGAAGCTGAATCTGGTGCTTCTAACGGGAGAGCATCTCAAGGGTCTCTCTTGAAGAACTGGCCCCTCATGTCATCTATCGGTGTGTATTGTGTTCTGTGTCTACATGACATTGCATACTTCGAGGTAGTTTTCTACTGCTGAATTCAGTCGTTTATTTTCTTGAAGATCTTGACTTGGGGTCAAGGTAAGAGGCTTTACATGTGTTTATCTGGAAGCATACAAGTGAAACCTGGTTTTTGTTTTTTGTTACTAGTGTGGTGTGTTTTTATCTAACCTAGCAAATTTTATTAGTTTGAGCTTTTGCAACTTCATTGTCTTGTGCTCTAGTCTGAACAAAAAGTTATTCATCACCTGGAATCTATCTATGCAGATATTTTCACTATGGGCTAACAGTCCACGAAAATATGGAGGTCTGAGCTATTCGACCAATGATGTCGGTACAGTCCTTACTATCTCAGGTATGCAGAACATCCTCGCTCCTCATGTCTTGTGTTTAGGAACTTGTGAAAATGCTTTGATTTGAATCCGTATGAGAGTTAAAGTAATCATGAATACGCAGAATTCTTACTTATCAAAATCGAGACCGCTGTTACTCATCAACACTTCTTCTTTAGGTCTCGGCCTATTCGCCTTTCAGGTTTTTCTTTATCCTTTGGCCGAGAGACTGCTAGGACCTGTGCTGGTCACACGCTTTGCTGGGGTTAGTTCGTACTCCGTTTGATGCTTCTATGCAAATTCTATGTAGTGCACTTGAATTAATGCAACAAGATAGAGATTGTTCTTCTGACCATTTTTTTTTTCTTTTTCAGGTACTGATGATACCTATACAAATGGGTTATCCATTTATAGCATGTTTATCAGGTTTCAGTCAAAACTTACTGTTGAATTGTGCATCAATCCTCATAAATGTACTTAGCGTAAGTCCAATATCAGAAGCTAATCCTTTGCTTTGTTTATCCTCTATGTGTATGTAGTTTACATATAAAGAAAATAAGGTCATGTTAATATATTTCTCAGCTGCTTAGTTACGATATGGTTTTTGTGAATTTAGGTGTCTGCCATAACTGGCATGGTTATTCTGCAAAATAAAGCAGTGGTAAATAAAAAAAAATCTTTTATCTTCTTTAAACCGCGAGGTGCAATTTTCTCATATCTTTTTTTTTGTTTGCTAAATTTTTTCTCATATCTTATAAACTCCAATTATAATGTTTTTGTATGAAAACAACAGGATCAGAGCCAAAGAGGGGCAGCTAATGGAATTGCTATGACTGTCATGTCTCTCTTTAAGGCCATTGGACCAGCTGGAGCTGGCATCTTGTAAGTGACATTTCCAATGAATAAACATGTAAGTAATTACAAAAAAGCAGTACAATGTCTTAATAAACACAAATCTCTATTGATGGCAGATTTTCATGGAGCGAGACGCGACTAGACGCGACATTTCTACCAGGTATCATCTCATAATTACTTTGCTTTGTCCATTATATATATATTAATAGTACTTAAATGAACTGAAAATGAGTGCAGGATCGCATATGGTGTTCTTCTTCCTAAATGTGATAGTCGTGGTCGGAGTAGCTTTCACGTTCAAGCCATTTCTAACCAGGACTAGGAGGTGAAAATTCAATTGAAATGGTATAGGGAAATATGTATGGACTCTTATAAATGATAGTATAGTTATAACTTCATTTTTGCACAAAAAAAAAAATTATAACTTCATTGGACGTCTCTATTTAATTATGTCTCCACCACCGTTATTGAAAGTGGGGATTAACACCTTTAAATTGATTCATGGAATATGTTAGGATTTAATTGTGGGGGGTTAATTGTGGGTGCATATAGGTGTGGAGGAAGGATACTCGTGATTTATTTGTTGGTTTCTTTTGACCTGAAATTGTCCACACACCCAAGTAGCCAACAGACAAGACAACAAAAGCAGTCAATTTTTATTTTTCCTCGAGACTAGCCAATTGTAAATTGTAATAATAAAGTTGAATATATACACGGAATTAGTAAAAGGCTTCCTATACACATTAGGAGACACATTCATGCAAAAGACCGCTACGTTTAGGTGAAGGTAACATTATTGAAAAAAAATCACGTCAGTGAGACTATTGAAGTACACATCTTTTACTTTGTTGATCACTAATTATCTCATGTGATCTTTTTTTTTTTTTTTGTTGTCAACAATCTCATGTGATCTATAAACAATATTCATCGACGTTTAGTGTCTCTCAGCCTATCTTATATAATATTTTTAAAGTTTTTCTAAATCCAAATCATGAGATGATGCTATGTGTCATCTATTATTTTGACTTTTGTTTTTTAGATTTATTTATTTAAAATAAAAAAATTAAGTGTTTTTAATAACTTTAACAATTAATTCATATAATTTAATAGCTAAGTTTAATGTAAGTTAATTCCAAAAATTAAAGTGTAACAGAGTTGTGGCTAGACG